CACTGGTCCGTCAGCTGCGGTCTGCGCCCTGCGCGGTCTGCCAGCCACCGATTTTTCCTGCCGGGACCCCTCGACCCCTCGACCCCTCTCCGTAGGCCTCCGAATCCGCCCCTCCTTACCCGACTGGATGTATGGTATTCAGACTTCCGTTCGGTTCATTTCTCTCTGTTCTGGTTGTTTTTTGTTTGTAAATTCTTGTTGTCCTTAGTTTTGGTTGCGCGAGGAGGTACAGTGCAACCACCTACGCCTCCATCTTGGATCCTCCTTCTAGTTTTACTATTTCTTAAAAATATATTTTATTGATTTTTATGCCATTACAGTTGTCCCATTTTTTCTCCCCTTTGTTCCCTTACTCCCTGCAGCCCCCACTTCCGCCAGCATTCCCCTACCGTAGTTCATGTCCATGGGTCGTACATATAGGTTGTTTGGCTGCACCATTTCCCATACTATTCTTGACCTCCCCCTGTCTATTTTGTGCTTCTTATTCCTACCATTTATGCTTCTTATTCCCTCTACCTTTTCTTCCTTTGTTCCCCTACCCCACTGGTAACCCTCTATGTGATCTCTCTTTCTGTGATTCTGCTTCTATTCTGGTTGTTTGCTTAGTTTGTTTGTTTAGGTTCAGTTGTTGATAGTTGTGAATTTGTTGTCATTTTACTGTTCATAGTTTTGATCTTCTGGTTCTTAGATCAGTCCTTTTAACACTTCACATAATAATGGCTTGGTGATGATGAACTCCTTGAACTTGACCTTGTCTGGGAAGCACTTTATTTACCCTTTCATTCTAAATGATAGCTTTGCTGGATAGAGCAATCTGGGATGTAGGTCCTTGCCTTTCATGACTTTGAATACTTTTTTCCAGCCCCTTCTTGCCTGCAAGGTTTCTTTTGAGAAATCAGCTGAGAGTCTTATGGGAACTCTTTTGTAGATAACTGTCTCCTTTTCTCTTGCTGCTTTTAAGATTCTGTCCTTATCTTTATTCTTGGGTAACGTAATTATGATGTGCCTTGGTGTGTTCCTCCTCGTCCAACTTCTTTGGGATTCCAGCTTTCTGGACTTCCTGAAAGTTATTTCCTTTGCCAGATTGGGGAAGTTCTCCTTCATTATTTTTTTAAATAAGTTTTCAATTTCTTGCTCTTCCTCTTCTCCTTCTGGCACCCACTATGATTTGGATGTTGGAACGTTTAAAGATGTCCTGGAGGTTCCTAAGCCTCTACTCATTTTTAAATTCTTATTTCTTTATTCTGTTCTAGTTGAATGTTTATTTCTTCGTACTGGTCCAGACTATTGATTTGAGTCCCATTTTCCTTCCCTTCACTGTTGGTTTCCTATACATTGTTCTTTGTTTCACTCTGCATAGCCTTCACTGTTTCCTCTATTTTTTGACCATACTCAACAATTCTGTGAGCATCCTGATTACCAGTGTTTTGAACTCTGCATCTGATCAGGTTGGCTATCTCTTAGTTGCTCAGTTGTATTTTTCTGGAGCTTTGGTCTGTTCTTTCATTTGGGGCATGTTCCTTTGTCTCGGTGCACCTGTTAACGTTGTAAGGGGTGGAGCCGTAGGTGTTCAGCAGAGCAGGGCAACCCAGTTGCTGCATTGTGACGCTGTCCGTTGGGGAAGGCATCTGAGAGGGAACAGTGCTGCTTGCTCTCTTCTAGTTTTCAGTCACTTCCTCCGCTTCCCACAAGCAAATTGGGCCCTGGCTCTCGCGTGGGTGAGTTTGTGGGTCTCTCTAGCGCCCTCTCCTGTGAGGCTGGGAGTTTCTCCCACTTCTGCCTCAGCCCCCACAGGTGTTTTCAGTCAGAGGTTTGGGGCTTTATTTCCCGGCACTGGAGCCCTGGGTTGCGGGTCTGTCTCTCTCCCCAGTTGTTCCTCCCAGTTTATCCACGTGTGAATGTGGGACTGCCCGGTCCGCCAGCCACCGCCTTGCCGCCGCCTTGCCACGAGTCCTCTCCATCTGGCTGCCCATCTCCGCCCCTCCTACTGGTTTGGGTGAATGTTTCTTCCTTAACGCCTTGGTTTTCGGACTTCCCTGCTGCTTGATTTTCCAGCAGTTCTGGTGGTTTGTTGTTGTTGTTGTTGTTGTTGTTTGGTCCTTGTTTTGGTTCTGTGAGGAGGCACAGTGTGTCTACCTATGCCTCCATCTTGGCCAGAAGCTCTGTTTTTCTATTGATGAGTCTGATTATGTTTACATTCTTTCATGAAAACATTTTGTTTTCATCCTTTCCTTTTTTTGGATATATGTTTAACACTGAATTGTCTAGAGCACCGCTTCAAACTTTCCTCTTCAGTTCTAATACTTGGTATTATTACTATATGTTTTGAGTAATGATAAGAAATGCTTTATATTTTCTCCTTAACTCATTGTTTAAGGGAGAATTTTCAAAACTTTTGGTTACAAAGGCCTTTTTGGATGTTAGGCTACCAACAGCGAAATATAAAGCCAGCTCACTGATGTCAGGCCTTACTGTCCTCTAGTGGTTAGGGGCATCTCCCGTTTGATCTGGGGAGGGTGTTAGAGGTTCCACGTCTCTGACTGCATGTCTCCTGTCAGAGGGACTGGAATACTTTCACTGAAGGGTAAATGGTTTGGTCAGCGAGCTGATTCCACTTTGTATTCCAGGTAACTTATAGGCCCTAGTCCATTTTGTAAATTGGAAACCGGTTGTTCCACAAGGTTGTAATCACAGCAGTTTCTTTATAGAAGCTCTAGCCCAGCTCTGGTGTGGCTCGGTGGGAGCACCGCCTAGGTAACCGGGAGGCGGAGGGCTCCGTTCCCTCCCGGTCAGGACACACACTAGGCCGTCGGTTCCGTCCCCAGTCTGGGCACTTGGAGTCCCAGTGTGTATGAGGCAGCCAGTCAGCCAGTCGATGCTTCTCTCTCTCATCCTTGCTCTAAAAGCAATGAAAAAATGTCCTCAGGTGAGGATTAAAAAATAAGTGAGTAAAAAAAAAGCCCCAAACCATTGTTCCAGCCTAAAATTTACTGTCTGGTGTGGCTTTGGTAATACATTTCTGGTCGTGAAGGAAATATGAGTGGGTTTGTCTGCATATGCGTGTGTGGGACTGAAGTAGAGCTTTGAACGGAATGTTTGATAAGCTGGTGTCTGAACAGCCTGCAGAAGAATCCATTTTATGCATAAAACCCAATTGTGTCAGTTTGTCTTTTTTGAAATTACGTGACAGTCTGTTTGAATGTTCTTTTTGGAACGTGTATTAATGTTGACTGGAGATTTTAACATTTTAAAGGGTTGGGATTTCAAGGAAGCTATTCCAAGTTTATAGCTGGTGGCTGACTTTTCCAGTGTTTCAGCGGTGTGATGGTTAAGGAGATTCAGGTGTACTGGAGTTCTGTTGGTTGTGGACTCATCAGAGTGACTGAGCCTCCCTCGGCCTCAGTTTTCCTGGCCTGGGAAATGGGCAGGAGGACACCGTCATGCCCGGTGGCTTCGCGGGGGTGAGGGCGACAGTGCCTGAAGCTGCTCGGTCAGTGTGTGTGTGCTTCGAGCCCGGGACCACCGTCAGCGGCTGTCACTGCTGTCCCTTGCTCAGATGTCAGCACTGGTGTTTTCTGAGGTGCTTTTCAGTAAAGGTCTGATTATACACAGGAGAATTTACATGGTTTCACTGTTCAGTAAGGAGTTGTTCTTAATACTGAGTTCTAACCAGAAGAGACGAGAGTCGTGCTCTGAGCAGCAGTCCGTGTGTGAAGCCGACCCTTTGTCCTGGTCGGAGCGTTGGTCGCGAGAGCACGAGCTGGAGTGGGTGTGGAAGAGAAGCGGGGTGTGATGGTGACGACGTGTGTGTGGTCCCAGAGCTGTGAAGCCCTTCTCTTGGTCCCTGAGGCGAAGGCGGCGAGGGAGGGTCTGGTCACACTTGCTGCCAGACAGGTGGCTCCATGGACATTCCCTGTGTCCCGCTCCTACTTTGTAAACCCCTGGAGATGGGGGGGCGCTGGCGCTTGTTCCAGGGCTGCTCCTCGGACCACTGGTCGTGTGTGGGAGGCAGCGCGGAATTTGGTGAGACGCTGTGGGGCTCTAAGGGGCCACTCAGTGCATTTTAGCCAATTTTTAGTGTTGCCAGGGTCATCTCAAAGACAGGTGTAGAGACTAGCTGGAATTGTATGTGATCCTTTTTATTTCTGCTTGAAAACCTTTAGATAGATTTTTCATCAAGATTTTATAGGTTGCTTTTCACATTAAAAGAAATAAAACCCTCAATATTCGTGTTCTGTCCTTATAAAATTTAAAGGTGTTTTGGCTTAATTGTCTTGATAATGGAATTTCATATAACCTTTTTCTCTTTATATTTAGCTTGAAATATATTAAAAAAACCCTCCTCACCGGAGGATATGTTTATTGACCTGAGAGTGAGAGGAAGTGGGGGGTGTGGGGGAGGCTTGAACTCGTGGCCATGTTTGGTGTGTGGAACGATGCTCCAACCAAGTCACCCAGCCAGGGTTTAAAACTGCTTTTCACGTGTAAAGAGGAGAGCCTCACAATTCTAAAATGCATTTTCTCTGAATCCTACACAATTCAAGGACCTAGTGAGACCCTTCAGTCAGCACCTTGTTACAGGAAAATACAGGTCAGATAAAATAGCTTAAAACTGTTTGGAACTTAAAATTCCCATTGCAGCCCACTGGTCCGCTGCCCAGGTGTGAGTGCGCAGCAGTGAGAGCTCAGGAGGGCCTGTGAGTGCCAGCGTCCAGGGGGCGTTCAGAACTACACAGGATGTAAACTGCTTTAATTGGGATGAGAACAAGTGACATATTCACGAAACAAGTCATTTAAAAAATGTTTGTAAAAGGCTGTACTCTCCACAGAACTTTAAGGAAAATAAAGACAGACTAATAAGGGGAGAAAAAAAAGACAACCGAGTTATGTTTTTAAAGTAGAAGTTCAAGGCTCAAATTCTTCTCAAGTGTTTGAGTTTGTCCCCAGAGCAGAGCCTGATGCCGTATGACTGACTGAGCCGTGGGTTCCATTCTGAACAGGTGAGGACCCCTGTAACGCCAGACTGAGCCTGTGGACGGTCAAGGCCGCATCGGCGGCAGGAGTCACATCAGCCCAAAACGCAAGGCCGTCATTAGCCAGAGTTAGTGCCCGTAGTGAGTAACACGTGTTTGGGGGACTTGTCTTCAGTTTGGTGCCGCCTCTGGCACGTGCTGTGTTTACAGATTGCTGCGCTCACCCTGACGCCGTGGCAGGTAAAGGCGCACGTGTGTCTGTGGGCAGAACGGCTCACACGCGGCTCAGGTGAGGGCAGTGGCCGCCACTGTCCTGAGTGCGAGCTGGGGGACAGTGCACAGTCTCCAGCGTGAGACAGGAACCAGTGCAGGCTATGAAGGAAAAATTAACATGCTTATAATCAAAGGTACTTCAGTAAATTAAAACACCAGTTTCATGACTAGATTCCCTCAGCAGAATGTCAAACAAGTTTATCATTCAGAAAACTGTAACAAAGAATTCCCTCTTCTAGAAATGTCTAGAACTATTTTAGATTTCTAGGAAGCTAACTTCTCAAATTGGCATCATAATACTTGAAGTAAGTTATTAAAAATATTTCAAGCCTGCCCTGGCCAGGTGGCTCAGTTGTCGGAGCACCGTCCTGTACACCAAAATGGTTATGGGCTCGACTCCCCGTCAGGGCACACGCCTAGGTTTCGGGTTCGATCTCTGGTCAGAGCGCAAATGGGAGGCAAACAGGTGACGTTTCTCTCTCCCCCTGTCTTTCCCCTCCTCTCTAAACCAACAAACATATCTTTGGGTGAGGATTTTGAAAAAAATCAGTTTTTAGTAAGTGGTATTCTATTTTTCTCCCCACTTGACAGATTGATGACCTTTAGAAGTTAAAAAATTGTAGATGTCAGAATTCTTTTGGTAAAAAATAGGAAATCTGGTTTCATTGTAGAGGACATATCAATTGTTTCTATGGCGATATTAATGACTCAAATGAATGTTTATGGTGAGAATTTAGCGTTTACATGCGTCAATTATACTTGCAAGGAGAAGAACCAACCACTAGTCATTCCAGAATGCAGTGTTTGAGCCCTGGCTCGGTCGGGGGCAGGAGCGTGGGTGCTCCGTGGGAGTCGCTGGGGGCGCGCAGGGAGGGTCACTGGGAGCCGGAAGGGAGGTTCTGCGGTGTGAACCACAGAGTAGCAAGACTGGGATGTAATCATTAACTTTTTCCATTGAAACTGGGGAAGATGAAGAAGTAAATAGTGTAGAAAATATCCAAATATGACTACCTTTATTTGCAGCTTTCCATGCAACACCCAACACTTACAAGCGGAAGAACACAGAAACAGCTCTGGACAACAAGCCCTGTGGGCCCCAGTGTTACCAGCACCTGGTAAGCCTGAGTGCCGCGCGGGCCGGAGGGCGCTGGAGGAGGACTCTGACCCTGGGGAGGCGCGCACGTCCCCGTAAGCTCTGTGGCTCCCGCGCGCTTCTCCTGGCCACAGGGGAGGCAGGGGGTCCGACCTGGGTCGTGTCTCCGACGAACTGCACACGCACACTCCAGTCCTACGCTGGTCTCGATTAGTCTGTGTGTGTCTGTGCTACTCTCTTCAGCAACAGTTCCAGGTTTTAGGATCCAGGGCTTAGAGTACACCTCCCACGAAGTTCAGGAGCGTGTGCAGCACAGGTAGCCACCTCACCACCAGACCCACGTCCGGTCTGAGCCTCTCTCAGAGCCGGGGCCTTTCTGGGAGCTTCAGGCCCCTGTGGTTTAAGCCGTGTTTCAGGGCCCACAGGTAGAGAAAGGGTAAAGGCTTAGGAAAACAAGAGGTAGAAAAGTAGTTTTTTAAAAAAATTTTTTATGGCTACTATCTTATTTTTACCATTTCCCCTTTTTGAACCAAGCCACTCCTACCTAGGAACTAAGTGGGTATATATTGCCTGTTGGATTTTGGACAGAAGATTCATTGAATGGCACCTACAGAAGGTATCCTATTTTTAAGCAATTTGGTTTTTGTAGAATGAAGTATAGAACTGTTGGCTGCTCTCAGACTTCTCCCTTCACTAAACACGGGTTCTCGAGCACTGCTGCGTAGTTTTATGTGGCTCATCTGAAGCGTCTCTCTGGGTCTTCTGTGATCCGTGCTCCTGCCGGTCTTCCACACTTCTGAGACGGGGCGCCACCCTTCGCAGTGCAGAATGTCTCCCCTGTGCCCAGCCTTGTCCTCAGGCTCCCGCCGTGTCTTCCCGGGGCCACGCGCCCCTCGCAGGAGGGACGGGGTCTCGTGGCAGGGCAGGCCGCGGCCGCGTTGGGCATGCTCCTGCGCTTTGCGTCCCTGTGCCCTGCAAGGCGGCCGCAGCGCATGCGCTTAGAAACCCCAGGACGGGGGTGTTTGCCGCCAGGTGCACAATAAGTATGTGATTCTCACCAAGATTCACTTTTTATTAAAGGGACTGTATGTTACGTAAAGCATATTTTATTTTTTGACGTACTAATCAGTGTATTTCACAAATACACTGATGTCACACCACTCTAGCAATATATAGAACGAGAGCCCGTCTGAGGTTTCCCAACTGTCCGAGGAGATGGAAAGGAAACAAGCGTGCGTAGATATGCAACCAATTAATTGTAGAACGTGGATATCGTGTTGAATTTCTTGACTAACTTGCTTGTGCAGGTTTTTTTCCCTCATGAAGATGAGCTGTAGAACTTGACCTTGAGGCCTCCATGTTTCACTCTAGGAGGGAGCAAAGGAGTTCGCCGCCGCCCTCACCGCCGAGCGGATCAAGACGCCACCGAAGCGCCCGGGCGGCCGCAGACGGGGGCGGCTTCCCAACAACAGCAGCAGGCCCAGCACCCCCACCATCAATGTGCTGGAGTCCAAGGACACGGACAGCGACCGGGAAGCTGGGGCCGAGACTGGCGGCGAGAATAACGATAAGGAGGAGGAGGAGAAGAAAGACGAGACCTCCAGCTCCTCTGGTGAGGCCCGCCCGCTCGGCCGGGGGGAGCACTTCCCCTGGGGGCTCAGTCCTCAGGAGGGCGGGACTTCTGTCCGTGCGCAGAGTGTGCTCCAGGAGGGCTGGGGCTGAGTGCTCGCAGCCCTTCCCGCCCCGGCCCGCTGCACTATGTGGCCCGCCGCAGTGTGTGCCGACTGGGTGGTTGGGGTTCGGAGCTGCCATTTCTGTCCAGTGTGTCATCCTCTCCGCTGTTCTCAGTCAGGGCCCGTGAGGTGCAGGCCACTCAGGTTAGTGTCCTTGCGGTCCTGTGGGTCGTGCCGGTCCTCCTCCTGACCGGAGTCAGGTGCCCGTCTGCCCTGCGGCTTAACCACAAACACCAGTAGGGCAGCCCGTTCGCCTTCCTTGCGGAGGGGGCCCAGGCGCACAGGTCCCGTACGACGGCCTGGTGACACTCGGCAGCCTCCGCTCGTGCTCAGACACGATTCACCGCCTGCTTCCTGCCTGGGCGGGCGCGAGCGTCCTGCGTGTGCCCTGCTGTCCTGGGGCCGCTTCTGACTGGGGCCTCCCTTGGCTTGCAGAAGCGAATTCTCGGTGTCAGACCCCGATAAAGATGAAGCCGAACAGCGAGCCCCCGGAGAACGTGGAGTGGAGCGGGGCTGAGGCCTCCATGTTCCGGGTCCTCATCGGCACCTACTACGACAACTTCTGTGCCATCGCCAGGCTGATCGGGACCAAAACGTGCAGGCAGGTGAGCAGGTCTGAAGAGCCTCAGGGCTGGGGAGCACGTGCAGCCGTTGTCCGAATGCGAGGGCGTCTCTCAGTTATCGTTACCTTCTGCTCGCTCCTGGGAAGGAGTTTTGTCCGTGTACTGAGGGTGAACTGGTTTCAGCCTTTAGCTGTTTCAGGCTGGGTGACAATCGACCTAAAGAGCCAGTAAGGATCTAGATTCAGCCTTGGGACCCTTGACCATAATGTCATCGAAGCTGCCCGAGGGTGGGGACAGCATCGGCTCCGCTGTCCCCAGCACCCACGCAGTATCACGGCAGAGACCGTGTTCCTGGTGGGGACCAGTGTAAGGCTGTGAGTCTGCTCACCCTGATGGGCCTCTCGCCAGGTGTATGAGTTCCGGGTCAAGGAGTCCAGTATCATCGCTCCGGCTCCTGCCGAGGATGTCGACACGCCTCCGAGGAAGAAGAAGAGGAAACACCGGTAAGTCTGCCTGCGGCCGTGCTGAGATGCCACCAGGACGCCGTGGGCCAGGCATGACCAAGGGCAGTGGCTGGCCGCCTCCACCTTGTCTGTAATAAAAGGAACCTAAAGTGCCTTAAAAACAGGTGGAGCTTGCACGGCAGTGCGGGTGTGCACTTCGGTCAGAGCACAGCAGCGTGTGCAGGCCTGGTTTAAGAGCCAGAAGAAGCAAGCTCACTCTGCTGTGTTTAGTCGAGAAAAACCTAGTATCTTCTGCAGCTAAGGCTACACAAACAATCAATGTGTTCTGAGTGTTTTCCTGAGCATGAATCTTGGAGTGGTGACGAGAGCTCTGAGCTGGTTTGTGTTTGAGGAGCGGGAATCTCCCGGGTGTGTGGCGGTGCACTGGTCACCGTGGTGGACGGGCTCAGGCCGTGGGTGTGTCCCCTGCCCCGAAGCCTGTGGCCATGTGTGGGGAGGCGGCTCGATTGTGGGTGCAGAGCGAGCAGACAGTGGCTGGACTGCCGGCTTTCATCCCCGCTGCCCCCCGGCTCCTCAGAGAGAAGCAGAGGTGGGTGCTGGGTCGGGGAGCGTCCAGACTGCCCTTTGAAACTCCTGCGTGCTGTCCCACCTCAGTGGTTTGGGGCTGGAAGAACTTAGCTGTCTCTCCGACAGGCGTTAGGCTTTGGTAGTAACCTCCAAGTTTTTTGGTTGCACTATCTGACCACGTAGCCCAGTGGGTTGATTGAAGAAGTGCCAGTGTTACCGCCTCAGCACGAACCCAGTAGGTGGACTGCCCTGCACGGGAAGGCCTGGCCGCCCCAGTCCTGACGGCCTGCTTACGAAGGGCTTCTCGGCGCACAGCGGGGCCTGGTGGTCACGCGGCTTCCCGGTCACTGCCACCTGGCACACGCAAACTGGGGACCGAGTGCCCCTTTGGTCAGTCACTCGGACGGAAGGCGCTGCCCTCTTGATGGCACAGACGGACCCGTTTCAGGAGCTCCTGTGCGCCGGCCACGCTCCCTCGCTTCCTGGGGAAGACCGTTTGCTTCTTTGTCTTGCAGGTTGTGGGCTGCCCACTGCAGGAAGATACAGCTGAAAAAAGGTCGGTGCCTTTCCACTGCACCCCAGGGACCTAAGATGCCTGTCGTGTTCAGAATAGTGACGGGGTTAGAGTTGAGGGTCCTCTGATGCATGGAGGACGTCTGTAGGTTCTGTTGCCAGCCAGTCCTCCGGTGGTTAAAGGTGCAGCACCCTGGGGACCTGAGACGTGGGGACAGTGCCCTAGTTCCTTCAGGCCATCGTCGTGTGGACAGGAGTGGGCGTCGGGCAGGGAAACCTGCCGCCCTGCGGGGACGCGGGAGGGGTGTGTGCTCGCTCGTGCGTGCCCCCTCCCCCTGCCGACTGACCCGCACGCTGTTGTCTTGATGCAGACGGCTCCTCGAACCACGTTTACAACTACCAGCCCTGTGACCATCCGCGGCAGCCTTGCGACAGTTCGTGCCCTTGCGTGATAGCACAGAATTTTTGTGAAAAGTTTTGTCAGTGTAGTTCAGAGTGTAAGTATCTGTTGCTTTAATGCAGTTGCATGAGGACTGAAATAGTAAGCAAAGTCGACGCGGCATGGCAGCTCCTGCTGGTTTTCCTTGGGGAGACCCAGAGTGCGGGGCCCAGAGCCCCCAGCGCCCGTGTCCAGCCAGTGTCCTGGCTGATGTGTCATGTGGACAGGTTAGGCAAAACGGGGCTAAAGGAGCTGTTTTTTCTTTGGTGGTTTAAGTTAAACCGTAGTAGCGCTGGCCCAGAATGTAAGGGAGTCTAGGAGTAGCTGTCCCAGTACCTTGTGGGCCCTGGGAGCCGTCCGAGTCGAGGGTCCAGTGCTCAGCACAGAGGAGCTCGTCGTCGGGGTGGGGACTCTCTCCTGAACGAAGCCACACGGAAGCTTGGGCACGCAGGGCGTTTCTCCTCAGGTGCAGTGGGACGGGGAGGCTGCTGGGAGGGCTCCACGCCGTCACGTGGCAGTAACCGCGGAGATGGTCTCTGCAGGTCAGAACCGCTTCCCCGGCTGCCGCTGCAAGGCGCAGTGCAACACCAAGCAGTGCCCCTGCTACCTGGCCGTGCGGGAGTGCGACCCCGACCTGTGTCTGACCTGCGGAGCTGCTGACCACTGGGACAGCAAGAACGTGTCCTGCAAGAACTGCAGCATCCAGCGGGGCTCCAAGAAGGTAGGGCCTGGGGCGGGGCCTCCAGGTGGCAGCCCGTGCTCTGTAGGGTAGAAGGGACCAGGACCAGCTTTCTCTGTTTGGAGTAAGAGATGTTCTTTTTTCCTAGTTCAGTAGATGATTTGAAACCCTTTTTTCAAGATTTTCCTTATGCATTTTATACAGAGGAGAAGGGAGGGGAGAAAGGGAGAGAAACATCAGTGTGTGGCTGCCTCCCATGTGCCCCCCCACCAGCGATCTGACCTGGCCTGCAACCCAGGCATGTGTCTCAACCGGGAAGCGAACTGGCAACCCCCTGGTTCACGGGCTGGCACTCAGTCCACTGAGCCACACCAGCCAAGGCTGAATTTTTTAGTTAATGGAAGCAGTCATTTACTTAGTCTCCTTAATGCAAATGTGTTCCTGTCAGAATCTAGAGATTTTTATATAGTAGCCAAGTTTCCTTTTTGTGCAGAGCAAGAGGTGCAGTTTCCCCCAGTAGTCTTTGCAGGCACTGTTCCTTTAATCGCCTTGGAAACATCACAGCCGGGATCACAGGACTGGGGGCTGCACGCAGGTGCTTTGTAATTGCAGGGACCACATGCAGTGTCTTACTTTTTTAGGGTGGATGGTGCATTTCTCCAATTAATAACTCTTATAATAGCTGGCATTTACTACTTACCATGTAGCTGGCCTGGGGTAAGTGCTGTGTGTTCACTCGTCAGTCCTCGTAGCTCCCCGAGGCAGTGTCCTCAGCAGCCCGTGTTCCAGGTTGGGGAATCCAGAGTCAGTGGACCTGGCAGGAGCCCCAGGCCCTGCCGTTCCCTCCACCTCGGGTCCCGGCTGCCCGCGATGCGGCGAAGCGCACACCGTGCAGCTAGACGCCCTGCCCCTTCCACCAGGAGGTCTGGTTCTGGCAGTGCCTTGATTTTTGGCTCTGATGTTTCCAAGTGTTTGGACAGCTTTTCCTGGGTGGTTAACATCCATCGAGGTCCTTCTGTCACAGTGATGCACGGCATACCCATGAGCCCTGACACCCCATCATTTCTCCCCCACCCCACACTCACCTTGTGGGGCCAGCTCTGCTCAGAAAGGGGGCAACGCTATTCGCTATTCGCAGTGGCACTACTTGGCACTCGGAAGACAGCTGTAGATACTTTCTTACCAACTGGGTTTCATTTGCTTCACAGCTTCACAATGTTACTGAGCTAATTCAGTTTCTGATCAGGAAGTTGTTCGGGAAAGTCCCCTGACGGGAGTGGGACTGGATTAGAGTAGGAACAGAGTGGGAGCCCGGGTGATCAGGGGCCTTTCTAAAAGACACAAGAAGTTTAGTGGGACTGCGTCATAATGAACCTGGTGCAAAGTGAGGGGTTCATTCCTGATGCACCCTGACTGGAACTGGCCGTGTTCGTCATCTTGGCGTCTGCTGGGCCGGCGAGATGAGACAGCACCTCCTGGCAGTCCTCCAGGCTGTCTCTGAGGAGCTGCAGTGCAGGAACAGCTGAGCTCGGCTTCCGTGGCACTAACGCAGCCAAGGGCCCGAATGGGAAGTGGAGGAGCTGGTGAGAGGAAGTGAGGGGCGGTGTGGAGACGGCAGATTTGGCGTCCTCGTGTGAAATCCACACTGGAGGTGCATCATTAAGGGGGTCAAGGGCGGCCCTCGCAGGTGCCCTGTTGGATGGCCAGCAGAGGGCCCGGTGCCACCATGGTTTTGGGGGCCGGTAAAGCTTATATTCCGCTTATTCACAAACACCCAAAGTGGTGTCCTCGCGGTGTGTCACCCCTTGGATGGAAGGGGGCGACCTGGTGGCTTCCTGCCCCCGACTTGAGAAGGGGCCTGAGGAGTCACACTCGCCCCGTGGTCTCCCGTGCAGGCAGGCCGCCGGGCCCTGCTCTGACTAAACGGCTGTGCTCCACTCTCTAGCATCTCCTGCTGGCGCCGTCCGACGTGGCAGGCTGGGGCATCTTCATCAAAGACCCTGTCCAGAAGAACGAGTTCATCTCCGAGTACTGCGGGGAGGTAAGGCCCAAGTGTGCAGCCGCTTCGTCGTGGGTCCCTGGGCTGTTTGAGTCCTGGTCACGCAGCTTTCTCTGGGGACAAGGGGGGGGCAGGAGGTTTGCTCGGGAAGAGTCTGTCCTACTTAAACCCCCGGCCTCAATTCAAGGACCCAGCAGTGAGGGTCGTTTACCTTAGGCCGCTCAGTTGCGGTCCCTGAAACGGCACTGTCCGCATTTTCCAGTGGGTAGAAAAGGGTAGAGGAGGTGTTCGCCCAGCACTCTCTCCAAGTCTGCTCCCTTTGATGGGGAAGTGCGTCCGGGTCGAAGTCCCCGGCGTCCGCACGGCAGACGGAGCTCAGCAGGGCCAGCTCTGCCGAAGAGTGTGTGCCCGTGTCCCCGCCTGGTTCGCTCCCTAACCCGGCGCCGTCTCGTCCTCAGATAATTTCCCAGGACGAGGCCGACAGGAGAGGCAAGGTGTACGACAAGTACATGTGCAGCTTTCTCTTCAACCTGAACAACGGTATGTTTCCGAGTCGGGCCCGCGTGGCCCTGGGAGCCCTCCTCCCCGGCAGAGGCATATGCGTGGGCTGTTGCCGTCGCTTGCAGGGAGGAACCCCTTTGTGGCAGAGCGGTTCTGGGTCAGGGGACGCGGCCCCTCTCTGAGCCCCAGGAGATGCTGGGGCTCCCACTGCTGCGTCCTGACGGCTGGGGTCTCGAGCCAGCCGGGCGCACGTCCTCCAGTGCCTGCCTCTCACCCCGGGGGCGCTGTGTTCCGGAGCCTCTCCGGCATTTCCGGCGTTCCTGGAGGACACGCAGCAGGGGCTGAAGGGTGCTGTTTTTCCCAAGCGGTGGCGTCCCTGGGCGTGGGGGTGATCCGCAATGAGAGCAGGTGGCGCGCACCCACAGTGTTTCACTGACCCTGGGCTGAAACGAGGGTGGGGTTTTCTGTGAACAGGTTCCACAAACAGGATAAAGATTGACTTTTTACTTAAAATGCTTATTTTCTTAATGTGAAGAATTTAAGTCAGATTCCATTTTTTTGCAATATTTTGCTTACTAATACATATTTACAGTTAGGTAACAGTATTTGAGAGACAGTTGTCCTGAATTAGCAATTTTACCTAGAGCAGCATTTTCTTACAAATGTCATTTCATACTGCGTGATTTACTTGCTATTGAAGGCAAACCCCAAGTATTTCCAGAATCGTAGTACCTTAGTGTTTACTGAGCTGAAGCTGCAATTGTTTACTGCATTGTGCTCATTTTTTCCTTAGATTTTGTGGTGGACGCAACCCGCAAGGGTAACAAAATCCGTTTTGCAAATCATTCAGTCAATCCAAATTGCTATGCAAAAGGTAGGTGCTTCTGGACTCAAGATTCCTGTAGTGACCCCGTAAAATCTGTCCCGGCGCGCTGACCCCAGCCTGTCTCCTTGCAGTGATGATGGTGAACGGTGACCACAGGATAGGGATCTTTGCGAAGAGAGCCATCCAGACTGGAGAAGAGCTGTTTTTTGATTACAGGTTGGTAACAGAGCAGGCTCTGGTGTAACCTGGGGGCTCTCCCTCCTGGACTGGGAGCTGGGGGCAGAGGCTGTCTTTTTGCGTTTCACTGGGCCTGGTGGTGTTGGAGGGACTGATTTTGGGTCATTCTTGGCCTCGGCAGGAGTTGGAGGATATCGTTTCTGTTATACAAGCACTGGTTCTTTTAAAAACAAACAAAAAGCACGCAGGAAGCCCCGGTTTTCACCCTGCTGCAGGCTGTGGGGCCAGACGTGCTCCCGGGAGGGCGTGCTGGGCGCGTCTGTGACGTTTCAGTGCAGGCAGACTCGGGGTCTCCCGGCAGCTCCAGAAGCTGAGGACACGGGGCCCGTGGTGCGTCATAGCGTTAGGCACCAGGCTGGCCATTTACGGTCAGGCCGAGGGTCAGGCTGACAAGCTGCCTACCACTTACTTGAAGGCAGTCAGATGCCAGTCTGGGTAAACCCCGTGGCTGAGCCCATGTCCCACTCATGCGGCCCATCCAGAAGCTCCGTGTTGGCGTTCTGAGTTGTTCCTGAACTGGGGCCCAGGTGTTGGCACTTTGAAAGCACAATCTAAAGCAGGTGTGACAGTGCCGGGGACACACTGGGTGTTTGTGCCTGTCTCTGGTGAGTGGGTGGCTGGGCTTGCGCTCACCTGGACGGGCTGCGGCCATGCCTGTCTCCTGCCTTCCAGATACAGCCAGGCTGACGCGCTGAAGTACGTGGGCATCGAGCGCGAGATGGAGATCCCTTGACGTCTGCTACCTCCCCTCCTCTTCTGGGACGGCTGCCTTTAGCTTCAGGACCCTCGAGTACTGCGGGCAATGCAGAGAGGAAAATGCAGTGTGAAATCCTGAGTTTGCAAAGTACTGTAAGAATAATTTATAGTAATGAGTTTAAAAATCAACTTTTTATTGCCTTCTCACCAGCTGCAAAGTGTTTTGTACCAGTGAATTTTTGCAATGACGCAGTGTGGTACATTTTTGAACTTTGAATAAAGAATACTTGAAGTTCTGCTTGGGGTTGGCTGGCATCCATCGCGAGCCTCAGCTGCTGTTAGAAAAGGCCTGTGACCGAACTCGCACAGTAAACACCTTTGGTTTTGCTTATTAGCATTAATTTGCTTATCACAACATCATATGTTCAACACGGGGTGTTGGCAAAAGTAGGTTTATAGTCGTGGTGTTGGCAAAAGTAGATTTATAGTCGTGAGTCACGAAACAGTTGTTTATTCTTGTATTATTTGTACCTCAACTTTTAAACCTACTTTTGCCTACCGCTGTATACACGTGTGTAATACACACATGTGCTACATGTGCTACTGTGTATTTTGCCTAGTTACACTTATTAATAACTGAGGGAGTGACACTGTCTGCACCCTGAGACCGGGGTTGGGGTGGGAGGTCAGCCAAGAGGCCTGGACGGTCAGTTCCCCAGGTGCCTCCGCCTCCAGCCCGACGGCGGCCCTGGCCTTGGGGCGCTCCAAGTTCTTCAGTCTGGACACTGCGGGGGTGGGGGTGTCCCTTACCTACCTACAGAAGGTGGTGTCCACAGGCAAACCAGTTCTCGAGCTTCCTGAAGGGGGTTTAAAAAAACAAACAAAAAAACCTCCCTCGGCCACCGGGACACACTGACCTGGGCACCTCTGGAGATGGAGACGGCCGCAGTCAGTCTGCGTGTGCCTGCTTTCTGCTCTATGACGCGATGGCGCTTAAGGCTTCGGTGCCCACCGTGCAGGCGCTGGCAAGGCTGTGGCTAGTGTCGCGCCGGTGCACCAGCCCTAGCACTGCGAGTCCCACATGAAGCTGCCCCCGCGGCCGGCAGCAGACACAGCTGTCTCACACGCCAGTCTCGGCCACGCTCCGTTTTACAGCCCCGTCTCCCTCCCTCCCAGGTGCACTGTGCACGGCCACGCGGAGAGGTGCTGATGGAGAGCTGTCACTGTTCACACGCAACAAGCTCTCTGTGCCCTGGCTGGACACGCGCCTCTTCCTGACGCACTCGCTACAGGACACACACACACACTCTGTCCTGTGGGATCCTGGGCGTCTTCATGATAGCTGGTCACTGTGGACTTTCCTTTTAGACTGGCCTTTATGTGGGGGGGGCCAGGGTGGGGAGGAGGGGCTCAGAGCAAGACGTAAGGTAGTCAAATACCCAATTACCGAAGGCAAAACGTGGACCCCAAAAAGCTGGTTAACAAGTTTGCTCTCCCCTCCTTCCCACGCCCGTCCCCCGCCACGATCACCGCACACCAGGGGTCTTCCGCGCTTTTCATCTCACGGCACACAGACACTCGTCACTGGAACTCCGTGGCTCTCCAGGAAATACACTTTCTGCCGGTGTGACCTGAAAAAAGAAGTCACTTTGAGTCACTCACACCTGACAGCCATTTTCCAGTTTGACGGCCTAAGGGAAGGGGGGGCAGTGCCCCGGGGAGCAGTCAGGTGTTTCCGAGCTCCAGCGGCGCGCTGGCGGGACCCGCCGCCGCGTGCCGTCTGCCTCCCTGCCGGTGAGCGCGGCACTGGGAGGGCGTGGCACCGCCCCGGGGGCCGTGGCAGAGCTCAGACGTGTTGTTGTCTGACTGACCGCAGGGGCTGCCCGCTGACCAGCCTCTGCAGTGTGAAACGACACTGTTCTGCTTGGCCCCTCTTTTCAACCGGTATTTTGTCATGTTTTCCAGTATCAACCATCATCTACCCAGAAACTGCTGCTTAATCGTTTCTCAATATTGCCCCGGTGCACGCGGCCTCCAGCCTCCCGTGCACCTGCTCAGGGACCCGGAGCCCGGGTGTCCGTCTGCTGCCCCGCGAGTCAGGTCGCAGCACGCAGACGTGCGGACAGGTGGGCGAGGAAGGGCCCTGGGCCCCTGCTGCAGACGCCCGCGAGGCTGCAGTCGTCCGGGCGGGTCGGCTCGTGCAGACACTCCCGCCTCCACCAAGTGTGTTCGGTGTCAGTCCACTCACCCCTGTGATTAATCACCGCCTGGTCGGCCACCGGGCGGCCAGGGAGAGCTGCGGTGGCCGCTGCGAGACGAGGAGAAGGCGAGTCTTCGGAAGCAGGTTCAGCTCCCGTGCACGTCCCCACCTGCTCGTGGTGGAGTCCTGAGTTTTTTCTGGAAACCAGAGACCGGTGTTCAGCAGCGAGGCCGGGCATCGTTGAGTGGCTGACCCGTCAGTGAAAGTGCTGCAAACCCCAGGTGCTGCTGCGTGTCCCTGTGTCAGCTGTTCCCCTGCTGGTTCCTGGGCCAGCGTCTCCCTGTCCTGTGTCCCCATGGAGGCAAGGGCCGGGCCTGCGGTCCCGCCCGTGCCCAGGAGGCCTCTGACCCCGGCTGCCGGCCAACATTCGTTTGGGGAAGGTCCTCCTCGCCTGGTCAGCCCCCTGGGTGAGAGGAAGTGGGCCCGCGGGGCGGGGGTTGCGGGAGCAGCCGGGCCCTCCCAGGACACTCGGTGGCAGTGTCTCCCCCCGCCTCTCGGCAGGCCAGCACACGGGGCCTGGACCCTCTGGCTCGAGTGTGGAGGCTCCTGACCGTCGTTAGGCGAGGACCTCGTTTGGGGAGTGACGTGAAAAAGTTGTGAATTGCCCCGTGACGCAGCCCAGTGGCCTGAGGGGAGGGCCAGGCGCAGGGACGGCATCGGAGGACGTGGGGGACGGCCGGGTCGCCCGCCCCTGGTCCTCGGCCGCCTGCGCCGAACCCTCACTCGGCCGAGGGGCTGACCCCAGGGCACTCCCGTCCTGGAGGGACTCAAGGGCGGCCACGCGATCTCACTGAATGACCCTCCGCCCCCACCATGGGGCCCGACCTCTGGAGCTGCAGGGAGGGAAGGTGAGCTGCAGCCTCGCTTGCTCCCCAGTCCAGGGCCCGGGGCCCTCGGGACGTGGGGGGCGGGGAGGTGCCCGGGTGGTCCCCCTGCTTTCTTCTGGGAATCGTGTGAGAAAGATGCCTATAAACAGGTGTGGAAGCCATGACCCAAGTGCTTAACTACTCTTTTTATACTGTGTGTGTTCAAACCTTCAAAAAAAACCTGTTATGTGCCAGACCACTCCGGGAAACCCGTGAGAACTCACCTCCGTGTGCTCCTCTGGGCTGTGCCACCGTCTATGCTTGGAGCTTCGAGGCTGAGGAGGAGAGCGGCCCTGCTCCCGGCTCCCGCCGTGTCTTCTGTCTTCCGGCCAGAAGGCGGGTGACGCGACGAGTGACATGATGTGACGCGCCGGCCGCGGGGCTCACTGCAGACGGAGAACAGAGGAGCAGCTGGGGGACAGGCAGGCTGCAGCCCAGGCCCCACGCTGGGAACAGCTCCCCAACACGCCAACTCACCGGCAGGTGCCTGAGCTCGAACGGCGGCCCCAAGGCGGGGGCTCTTCAGACAGGGGCAGGGGCACCCGTGCCGCTGGCTGGGACTCGGGGAGTTCCCCAGCCGTCGCTCAAGTCCATCTTGAACTGGTCAGAACCGGATAGAACCTGTTAGAACTGGAGTGGAGGGGCCACAGGGCCCATGGCACCTCCAGGCGCAACACCTGCTCCGTGGCCTCCCGGCCTCGGCAGCAGAGGGGCAGGCCGCAGCGGCCGCCCACGCCCCTCCCCGAGCCTCGACTCCCTGGGGCCAGGTGCTCAGAGGGTTAACCGCTCATACGGAATCAACGTGTCACTGAGTCTCACATGCCATGTTCAAGTCACCTCAGGAAGCCACAGAGATGAACACCCTTGTCTGGGGGGAAAAAGTTACAAGGGGGCTTAAAACTTGAAGATCTTAGAATTCAACCTAAAGGATTCAGCCTGCGGGGCCACAGGAAGACACCGGGACCGTGAACTGCACAATCGTCGTATCTTGTGTCTACACACAGAAACCAGCAAAACTGAAAACAAAACCGAATGCAACTTGTACAGAAATCCTTTAATTTTCTTTATTTCCACACATTAAAAAATGAAACACACTATACAAATGGTTTTCCGAGCAGATCACACGCGGGTCCGTCCAGACTCCTCTCCGAGCACTGCCGACGCCGAGGCGCCGCGGGCCGGCAGCGGCGAGCGCGGCCAGCGGGTTGGTTGAAATGCAGTAGCATGCAGCCCTCAGCACGGGGGTGCGTCCCTCTGTTCTTAAATTAGGTTAAATGGCATCGGTGTCCTTATGTACAGACTGGAAATGTATCGATCCTGAGCAGTTCTGGTGTGCGGCTGGCCGGCTGCGGGGAGCCGCGGTCTCGGTCGGGAGAGGAGGCCCGTGGGCGGCAGCTGCGGGGACGCGGGCGTCCGCGGCGGCACAGTCAGCCCCTGCGCCCGGGGCTAAGCCAGGTAGCTGTAGGTATCCTTCTCCCCGTCCACGCGCTCCAAGTACTCCTTCTCGATCAGAATGTCGATGCATTTCTGGGCGTCGTTTCAAAGGGAAGAGGCAGTGAAGACACACACATTTACCATCGCAGCGGAGACCGGCCCCTCACCACGGACCCCTCGGCTCCGAGTGGGACCCCTGCCGGCTGCACCTCTGCGCTGGCCGCCGTCTGCCCAGTGGGCCCAGAACGGAAAGCCACTTTGCTTCTAGGTCAACCCCCCCAGCCAGAGAGGAGCTGCATGGCGGTCGCCGAGGGTCCCCACACGGCAACTGACGTGAACACGGGACAGCGGGAACTCCGGTTCCGGAGAGTTCCCCGCTGATGTGGCCCCCTGGGGCTCTGGGGCACCACCTCCCTCTGCAGTGGTGCCGGGGTCCCAGCGTGTGCAGGGGGCGGAAACCAGCTGGCTGAGCACTTACGAGTCCGCACTCCCCTCCGGACGTCAGCGGAAGTTTTACAGTCAAGTCCGTTTTCTCTTGCAGAAGCTACTGCCCCCGAGTGAGCAGGCCCCTCCTCAGGAGACACCCGCTCCCACTCCCACCTTTTCTCAAGCAGTCTACCCAGTGCCTGTCACGGGAACCCTGTACCTTGATGACGGGGACCCGAGGCTTGAACCGCGAGGACAGCTGCGTGAGCACCTCTCCGAGCAGCTGCTGGTGCTTCAGCACCTTCCGCAT